TAGAGATTAGTTTCTCAGAACCTGTGGAAGGAACAATGCTGACCGAGGCACAAAGGGGTCATCTTGATGATGCTAGACTCAAAGATCACCAAGTAAAGCATTTGATCTTTCAACAAACCAACTATTGAATGTTATAGGTGTCATGACTTAGGTCATTTTCAATATGAATGTCCACCGACGAATAAGGAATTGAATTATGCACAGCTGGAAGAAGAGGATGGAATGTTGTTAATGGCTCATATGGAAAGACATGAAGCAAAAAGGAGTGATGCTTGGTTCTTGGATTCTAGTTGCTCAAACCATGTGTGCAAATGAAGGTATGTTTCAAGATTAGACCAGACCTTTTCCCACGCAGTCAAGCTTGAAAATAATACAAATAGGAAAGCTACTGGAAAGGATGCAGTGAAATTAACTTTGAATGGGGTTCGTTACACTATTAGTAATTGCATTGGGTACCTGAACTCAAAAATAATCTCTTGAGCATTGGATAACTACAGAAAAATGAGTAGTAGTGTTGTCCAAAGATGGTGTATGTTGCATTTATCATCCATAGAAAGAAAAAAATGACAGAGTCAATTATGAGTGCAAATCGGTTGTTCATTTTGCTTGCTAAACCATCTGCCACAACAAATGAAGGAAGATGTCTCCAAGTTTCAAATACTGATCAATCAACACTTTGGCACCATCGTTATGGTCATCTAGGCTATAAAGGTTTGTGCACCTTGAAACATAAAAACATGGTGAAAAAACTGCCACAAATTGTAGCTCCAAACACCATCTGTGAGGCATGTATGAAAGGCAAGCAACATAGGACTCCATTTCCAAAAATGGGTAAATGGAGAGAAACTGAAAAATTGAGTCTTGTTCATGCAGATCTATGTGACCCAATTTCACCAGATTCAAGTAGCCAAAAAAAGTATTTGTTGTGCTTTATAGATGGTTTTTTTGAAGGAAAGAAATTATTTTCTTATAGAAAAATCATAAACATTTTATCATTTCAAATGTTTCAAGATAACGGTGGAAAAGGAAATTGGAAGACCTATAAAATGTTTAAGGACAGATAGAGGAGGACAATTCAACTATGTAGAATTCAAAGGATGGAGTGAAGAGACAATAGACCATAACCTATACCCCACAACAAAGTGGAGTGGCCAAACGCAAAGATCGCACCGTGATGAACTTTGTAAGAGCTATGCTGACAGAGAAGAAAGTACCTAAAAATTTCTAGTCTGAAGCAGTTAGGTGGACGATTCACATTTTGTATCAATCCCTCATTCTTGCCGTAAAAGACATGACACCAGAAGAGGCTTCGAGAAGAGAGAAACCATCAGTAGATTATTTCAGAGTTTTTGGATGTGTGAGACATGGTCATATTCCAGATGCAAGAGAAGCAAACTTGAATATAAAAGTGTAACATCTGTTTTATTTGGAGTCAGTCGCAAATCCAAAGGTTATAAAATGTTTGATCCAACTACAAATAAAAGTATAGTAAGTCATAATGTAGCTTTCAAGGAGATCGTGAATGGGGTTGGAAATTTTTTGAAGGTGAAACAAAATTGGACCGGGGAAAATATTGAAATTGATGAGAATACAACTGAAGAAGGAGAAATCACTGAGAAAACTATTGAACCAGTTGCTAAAACAATTGAATCAGCTGCTGAAAACGAAGAAGGAGAAATCATGGAGGAAACAACTAGACCAGTTGCTGAAACAATTGAACCCGTTGCTGAAAATAATTTTCTAGTAACTATTGCACCAAATTTGACAATAAGGAAGGGGAGAAATCGACATCCACCTGTATGGTTAGCATATTATAATTTCGGTGAAAGCTTATCTCAAGAGGATAAAGAACATATGACATTCTTGATGATTTCAAATCCTATGAATTTTGAGGAAGCTGTCAAAAGCCCACAATGGACATTGGCTATGGATGAAGAAATCAAATCCATTGAAAAAAATTAAACATGGCACTTGGTGGTTCTACCCACTCGAGCAAAGAAAATAGGAGTGAGATGAATTTATAAGACCAAGCTATATGAGTTGGGTGAAGTTGATAAATACAAAGCAAGATTGGTGGTAAAAGGCTACAAAAAATAGCATGATATTGATTATACAGAAGTGTACGCACTTTGGCCAAAATGGATATTGTAAGAATGACCATTGCTTTTGTAGCCCAAAAATGTGTACAAACTCCAAAAGGCTCTCTACGAATTAAAACAAGCACCTATAACCTGGTTTAGTAGAATAAAATCCTACTTCATCAAGATTCAAAAGCATCTCTAATGAGCAGACATTCTTCATCATGAGAAAGGGAGGTAAAATTCTTATTGTAAGCATTTATGTTGATGGTCTTTATTCACCGGAGATGACTAAAAATTATTGGAGGAATTTAAATTTTCCATGAAAAAAGAGTTTGATATGACTGACTTAGGTCAAATGAGTTTTTCTTTGGAATAGAGGTAATACAAAGATTAAATGGTATTTTTATATGTCAAAAGAAAGTATGCGTCTGAAGTTTTAAATCGATTTAACTTAGAGAATTACAATTCTATTTGTAATCCCATTGTTCTAGAACAGGAAATTGGAAAAGATGGAAATGGTACAAAAGTAGATGTAATTTTGTATAAACAAATAGTGAGAAGTCTGATGTATCTCATAGTTACTCGTCCTGATCTCAAGTTTGTTGAAAGTTTGATTAATCAATTTATGACATGTCCAACCCAACAACATTTTGGAGCAGCTAAAAAGGTACAGTAGACTATGGTGTATTTTATAGAAAGGGAGGAATTAGTTATTTAATAGGATTTACTGATAGTGACTATGTCAGAGACTTGGAAGATAGTAAAGTACTTCATGCAATGTGTTTATAATGAGTGAGGAGTAGTAGCTTGGTCTTCTCATAAGTAGTCTATAGTCACCTTATCAACTACAGAAGCTGAGTTTGTTGTTGCTAGTGTCTGTGCATGTCAAGCTATTTGGATAGGGAGGATACTCAGAGAGATTGGTCACTCTGAAATAGAAGGAATGTGTGATAATACTTCAACTATTAAGCTATCCAAAATCCAGCTCTACATGGACGTTCCAAATACATAAGAGTAAAATTTCACTTTCTTAAAGATCTTATAAAAGAAGGATCCATTAATTCATTATTTTGTGGTACTCGAAATCCAACTTGTTGATTTATTGACAAAATCTCTCAAATAGAAGCATTTCAGAAGTTTTGTGAAGAACTTGGTGTGCAAAGTTTTTCTAACTTTAACTAATTCGTGATAAAGAAGAATAAGTTGAAGGGAGGGATTATTAGAAGAATTTGATTATGTCAAATACGATTAAATAAAGATAGTTTGTGTTGGGATAGTTAAGTATTTTTAGCTATTTAGTTTAACTTAGTTTCTATTTCTCTATTTGTAAGGCTATAAAAGTCAAGTTCAATACTCATAACCTCATCACTTGAAATTCCAATTGGTTTTGTTTCTGGCTTAGTCATTTTCTGTCAAAACCTTACACATTCATTATGAAACGGAGGTCCCTCATTTCATTTTAGCATCCCACTTGAACAGTTCTCTGTAATACACTTCTGAGAGCTAAAGGCCAACATTTTGGTTGATCCGGCTTGGGCCTGATAGGCTTGGACCCTTTTCTCCTAATTTCAATTCTTCATTTAATTAATACAATTACAATTACCTTTTGGCTAGTTAAATTTTTGGAATCAAGTTTTAAATTATTTATGCATAATTAGAATTCTCATAGTAATTCTAATTTATGATTGTTTAACTCCTTAGACACAATTAAATTTCAGAGAGCAGCATTAAGTAGCACTAGCATTAATGAGTTGTAGTAGCTTTGACCTAGGCTATCCAAGTAATTGACCCTTAGGTTGTGTTGTTATAATTGTGTGATGTGTGATGCCACATGCCCGTGGTTTCACACGTGTCATAGATCGTATATGCAAACTGTTATGAAATGTTACATAACTGTTATGCGATGTGTGGACCATGTGTCATAGATCGAGAATGCTCACCCGACTAGAAAGGGGCCCAAGAGGTGTGCAAACCAACTGGTGAGTCTATACTTAGCATGTGTGGACCATGTGTAGGAAAATTAAGTACACATCCAAGTTGCCTGTTAAATAGCTTTCGTAGCAAAATAAACTGTTATAATAGGTCCAATTTGTGAAATTATGTATTTGCATTTAACCCACCAAGAGGGGGTCGCTTACTAAGTATTTCTTAAAACACTCAAACCGCATGCTACTCTTATTTTTAGGTAAAGGCAAGACATCTTTGTACGGCTGACAACGTCATCACAAGTCGATCATGGTGCATGCATAGGGTAGTGCATTTATTTTCTTAGACTTAAGTTAGAATATGATGTTTTTAATTTAAATGTTCATTTATTTCAGTTAGTATTTCGTTGTGTTCGTTTTAAAATGTTTTTGAACACGTAAGCCTATGACAGTGTTTTAAATGAAGTTAATGCTTCATAATAAAGTTTAAACGTTTATTTTCGCACAAAATAATTATTTTATAATGACTATAGTGTCTCTAAATAAGTAGAAATTTAAGATCGATACACTCAGAGTGATCAAGACGGCAATATGGAGAAGCTAGAGACATTAGATCCTACCTAGATCGGAGTTTGTTTTGTATTTTCTACTTGTGTCCTATTTTGTGAAACTAGTTGACTTAACTTAATTGTAAATATATATAAATTTTGGTTGCTTTCTTCTAACTAACATTGAGTATGGAAGTGAAGTAGAAGCATGCGATCACCGGGCGTAGCATCTTGCGCAGTTAAATCAAATTAAGTGCAAGCACTAAAAGAAGCAAACAATTATACTACACTTAGTTACTAATAACTCCCTAACACCAACAAAAACAAAGAACCAAGACTCAAACAAAAGAAGCAATCCATGGGACTACAAAAAAAAAAAAAAAAAAACTTATAAAACTTGTATATATACAAAAGGACCAACGATATCAAAATAATAGACCATAAATTTATCCTTGGTAGTTCGGGCAAAGTGATATCGATAAGTCCAAATCAATTTCTTGGTGTTTCTGAATCGGTAAACTTTTGTCGAGAGAGGTTAAAGAAGAAGAGGAAAGCGAAGGAATGGGAGGGTTAGTTGGTTGTAGAGAAAGAGACAATGAGAGTTGATCAAAATCCTTATGTTGGCCTTCTTCTCGGTCCTGTTTCTTTACCACTCTTCCTCCATCCCTAGTGTGTTTAGGACGTCCCATGGGCTTATGCTTTTGTTCCTCTTCATTTGTCAGCTGTGATCAAACAATAGCTAGGGTTTCAATATTTTGTTATTTAAATCTAATTTTGAAGAAGTTTGTTTTACCTACAAAAAAATATATATAGAAATACACATCACAAACATTTCTTTTCAAGTGCTGCTTTAATAAATTGAGTTGTTGAATATTGGTCTACAAAAGTAGAATTTATGAGATGGGACATTGGCAACACTTTCTACATTTAATTGAATCTATTTTTTCATTTGAATTGAAAGCAATTTGTTTTCTTTTATTTTAATTTCATTCAATTTTGGTAAAAGCCTTGTAGTTACGTGGTATGTTAAAAAAAATAAAAAGGAGGTGTAGAGAGAGAGAGAGAGAGAGACCTGTGAAAGTGGGAGAGAGAAAGGCGAGGTGGCATGATGCATGTTTGTAGTAAGAATGTGGTTGGGCATGGGGTGGTGCACGTTATAATGATATGCATACGGGATTTGATATTGTCCCGTATATTCCTTGGCTGCGGTGCTCCTTTTCCTCATCATTCCTTCTCCACCTCCAGCTTTTGGCTCTGAGACCAATGCAAATTTCCCCAATCTCTCACTTACTTATATACATATACCAAAACCTACAACAGCAAATGCAATCAAAATTATCAAAATATACCAGCATGTCTTCTCACGTCCTCGCCTCTCATGCTTCTATACATCTACAAATACAATACAATACACGTTAAATAAAATTAATAATAATAAGAAGAATAAATGAAAGTTGACAGAAATGAAGAGGACCTGGAGATGGCTCTTAACATGGGATATGGAGACACCTTTCACATCCATCAGCTGAAGTAGAAGCTTGGGGGTTGCCTCTGCTAAGAAGAATATAAAAAATGAAAATAAATATATAAGAAAAAGAAAAAGAAGAAATGAAGAATTACTTTGATGGCCACCGAGGGATTGTATGGCAAGAAGGAAGGAGTTATGGAGTTGAGGAGTCCATCTTAAACGCGGCGTTTTGGATCTCACGTACTGTCTAACAACGCCTCTCATTTTGTTTTGCTTTGGTTTGCTTTGGTTTGCTTCTTTGAAAGTGAAGTGAAATAGAGAGAGAGAGAGAGAGAGGTAGAGAGAGAAGTAGAGATCACGAGAAAGGGAAAGGAGTGGAAATTGGTAAAAGGTTCTGATAGTTTCTGCTTTTGGTGTGCCCGACTCACTCACTGTCGTTGCTAACAACTAACAAACAACAAAACAACACAACACAACAACACAACAACACAACACAACAACACAACACAACAACACAACACACATGTATTCTTATTATTACCCTCGCATACTACAACACTCCAAACTTAAAGCAATAATAATAATAACAAAAAAATAAAAAATAAAAACCCTTTTCACGGGGCTTCCTCGCCTTATTCTTCTACGCCCAAATGATTAGGCTATGCCAAGTTTGGGAGTTGCTCCTCTTTTCACCCTCTCCGACCAACATAAACGCCAATCCTTCTCATCATTACAATCATTCCTTTTCTCTTTTTCTTTTTAATTATTTTTACAAAAAAGAAACAGATTCAGAGTTTAGTTTTGTCTTTAGAGCTCACCAATATCTATGTTCTTTTTTATTCATTCCTTCATTTATTGCTACAACTTAAGTTAATAAAGTAAATGCCGTGTGTTAATTATTATGTAGGGTTTATATGCACTTAAGCAATCAATGCTTGTTAAGGTTTTTGGTATAATAGGTCCCAAATTCCAAAGAATTTAGATAGCATTTCAATAAAGAAAAAAAAAAAATGTCTAAATCATGTTTAAGGATAGAAAACTTGTAATACCAAACTATTTTCTATTATCGTCTAAACTAAAAAAAAACATAGAGAATTCTTTCATCCTCTCGCCTACTCCCAATCTGTATGCTCATTATATACGTTGTCATGTTAGGCTATTAAATAAAAGTTTATATTAGGCAAACACAAGGGTGGTATAAGCTATAGATGCTAGCTCTCATCCCTCTCTTTGTCTTATATGTTGCAGCAACATCAAATCAAAGATAAAAAGTATGGATTTTGACTACTTTTTTTTCTTTTTTTTTTATATTCCTTATTTCAATTCATCATTCACTCCACTTTAGTATCTCTCTATTATTAATATCCTTGTTTCAAAAAAAAAATGTGCACCTTTAGTAACGTTACTATACCACTTCTTTTATTCTTTTTATTTTTTTATTTTTTCCTTTACTATAAAAAAGTTTCAAAACAACTTCAAGATATAATAATCAAATGGAAAATCGTTTTTAAAACACTTCAAATCTTAATTTGGCATCTCAAGGAAAATAATAAAAATCATCGGTCACAAGTTTTAAGTTTAAAATAACCTCTTCCAAACCAAACTCAAATATTAAAAAACAAAAGGATGAGCTTCAATAAAAATAATACAAAAAAAAAAAAAAAAAACTTGTAATAGTAGTTTGAGAGAAAACATAAAGACCCAAACATTAGAAAAAAAAATAATAAAAAAATAAGAAAACAAAAAGGAAAATTGTCCCAGGTTGAGGCTGAGAAATGAGAGTTGACCTCTACTTAAAAAAAAAATAAAAAATAAAAAAAATGGGCTGATTTGGCTTGGGCCTAAATACAAAATTAAGAAATTAGTGGAACTCTTTAGATATAATTAAATTTTAGAGAAAAACGTTAAACTAGCATCAAAAGGGTGTAGTAACTTTGACTAAGGTCAACCAAGTAAGTGGTCTTACTATCGATATGGTTAGAAATTGATGTTTTGTATGATGACACTATTAGAATCACACAACAACGCACACACTCGATCCAGATGAATACAAAAGACAAAAGAGAGAAAATGCAAAGTGGAATTTTGGCTAAAGGTTTATATTGATAACTTCAAGTATGTAGAAAATACATAGAATGTAGAAAGAAAGTACATTTTAAATTACCGTATGAGAGGGTATATATATAGTTTAGTATATATATTTACACGATATAACCATATGGTATATATAACATTCTACCCTATATACCTCTAACATCTTTTTACTATAAATAGTCGTTAACAGATAATAAATAGGCGAGAGGCTTCAAAGCCCAACAATTTTCGTATTTTATACTAATCCTGTCAACCAATAATTTCATTCTCAAACGACCATCAACATTTTCAATGCACAATACTAATTGAGGCTTTGCACAACTTCAGCACATTTTGTTGACATGTTGTTGTACTCTTTGCACCCTCTCTCTTCTTTAAATACATCATCATCTTCCACTAACTTGCGTGTAAAATGGTATTGTCTTCTAATGTGTTTTGTTTTTGATAGATCGGGTTCTTCGCCAACTATATGACACTCTAACTATCTACATAAAGAATTTTCTCATGCTGCTTCTTGCTTGATTCTTCTAGATAGTTTATCATCAATATCATCTCATTTCCAACTTTAGTTAATGCCACGTATTCAGTCTTAGTAGATGAAGGAGCAACACAATTCTAAAGCCTAGACATCCAACTCATCTCATCATTCATGGCTTGCTCTCACTTGGTTGTATCCTCCAACTATAGCCCATCATCGTCAAAGGGCTCTGGTTCCTTTTTTTAATTAGTCAGCAACAAATAGTGTAATGAAGGTACATTCCTATAGGGTACTTTGATAGTTCTCGATGATTCTCTCATCACCTGTTCAAGTTTTTCTTTCTCCACCTCTGGTTCCTTAGCAATGTCTTAGAACTTTCTCAAGTATCTACTACAACATCACTATGTGAATTTTTCTACAACTCAGACTCAACTCCTACTTTCTTTGTCTGGAAACCTTTCTTCTCTTTGTCCTTGTACATATTTTCATCAAAAGTCATGTCACAGTGTCTTAGGATTCTTTTTTTCTTGACATCCCAAAACTTGTACCCAAACATGTCAAAATCATAGCCTATAAACTAGCACTTCACAGCCTCAGCGTCAAGCTAGTCACTCTTCTCTAGATCAATACGCACATATGCAGTATAGCTAAAAGTTCTCAAGTGAGAGTACCTGAGTTCTTTTCCTGTCCATACAACTTCTAGCAACTTGAACACCAAGGGTGTTGACGACCCTCTATTGATCAAGTAGACTGTTGTATTTACAGCATCGGTCCAGAATGTCTTTAGCAATCTAGAATGAATCCTCATGCTATTTGCCCGCTCATTCAATGTTCTGTTCATTCTTTTAGCAACACCATTTTACTTAGCTTTATTGGAAACTGTTTTCATTAGTTAAATTTCCTTAGCTACACAAAATGCTTTGAATTCTAACTTGTCATGCTCTCCTCCATTTTCAGACCTCAGACATTTGATCTTCAAGCCGATCAGATTTTTAACAACTTTGATCTACCAAGTGATGGAACTAGAGATGGTCTGATCCACCAAGTGATGAAACTAGAGATGGGCCCCAAACGTCTGTATGGACCATTTCCAACCACATTTTTCTTCAGTTCTCTGGCAGCCTTTGTGAAGCTAACTCGTTTATTGTCCTCTTTAGGTTTTCCCTTTCGGGCTTCCCCTCAAGGAAAGGTTTTCACACCCTTATAAATGATGTTTTGTTCTCCTCCTCAACAAATGTGGGATATATCACAGTCCACCCCCCTTCAGGGCCCAGCGTCCTTGCTGGCACTCGTTCCTTTCTCCAATCGATGTGGGATCCCCACCAAATCCACCTTCTTTGGGTTTTTCCTTTCGAGCTTCTCCTTAAGAAAAGGTTTCCACACCTTTATAAATGATGTTTCGGTCTCCTCCCCAACCAATGTGAGATATCACAATCCACCCCCCTTCAGGGCCCAGCGTCCTCGCTGGCCACTCATTTCTTTCTCCAATCAATGTAGGATCCCCACCAAATCCACCCCCCTTCGAGGAACAGCCTCTTCACTGGCATATCGCCCAGTGTCTTTCTATGATACTATCTGTAATGGCCCAAACCCACCACTAACCGATATTGTCCTCTTCGGGCTTTCCCTTACGGGCTTCCCCTCAAGGATTTAAAACACGTCTACTAGGGAAAGGTTTTCACACCCTTATAAATGATGTTTCGTTCTCCTCCCCAACCAATGTGGGATATCACAATCCACCCCCCTTCAGGGCCCAGCGTCCTCGCTGGCCACTCGTTCCTTTCTCCAATCAATGTGGGATCCCCACCAAATCCACCCCCCTTCGAGGAATAGCCTCTTCACTAGCATATCGCCCAGTGTCTTTCTATGATACTATCTGTAATGGCCCAAACCCACCACTAACCGATATTGTCCTCTTTGGGCTTTCCCTTATGAGTTTCCCCTCAAGGATTTAAAACACGTCTACTAGGGAAAGGTTTTCACACCCTTATAAATGGTGTTTCGTTCTCCTCCCCAACCAATGTGGGATATCACAATCCACCCCCCCCCCATTCAGGGCCCAACGTCCTCGTTTGCACTCGTTCCTTTCTCCAATCGATGTGGGATCCCCACCAAATCCCCACCAAATCCACCCCCTTCGGGGCCCAGCGTCCTTACTAGCACACCTTCTCGTGTCTACCCCCTTCGGGGAAGGGCCTCCTTGTTGGCACATCGCTTGGTATCTTTCTCTGATACCATTTGTAACGATCTAAGCCCACTGCGAGTAGATATTGTTCTCTTTGGGCTTTCTCTCAAGGCTTTAAAATGCGTCTTCTAGGGAAAGGTTTCCACACCCTTATAAATGGTGTTTCGTTCTCCTCCTCAACCAATGTGGGATATCATAACCCCTCTCACTATGAATCACATCAACATATTTCAAACCTTACAAAACTCCTTTTGCAGCTAACATCTTCATTTCTTTAACGCTCATATGTCCAAGTTGTTGTCTCTGACTAAGCGTCTGGAGAGGAAATCTTGACGAAGGAAAACTGCCGAAAAAATTGTTGGGAGAAGAAAAAATAGAAAAGCAAAAGAAAATAAGAGAGAGAGAAAGAATAGGAAGATTTGGGATTTGACTCTGCTGAAAAACACCATTCTTATATTTGTCATTTGATTGAAAAAAACACTATGCTTATATTTGTCATTTAATTGACCTT